GGTTTTTTTTTTTTCCTAAAAGGAAAAAAAGAGGGGGTAAAAGCCATGCACAAACCCTGTAGTTAGCAAAGGGCAAGCTTTGAGACCTTTCATTTCTCTCTAGATTTCGGTACTCCTATCTTCTGAATTCCTTTGTTTCAGTTATACAGATTCACTCAACATAATTTTAGACAAATATCCAGTGAAAATAATGTGTTAATGCTTGACCCAGTTTTCTAGTGACTGGGAGGCTGGCATAGCATGAGATGAAAGGGTGAACTGACTTGAAAACCAGCCCAGGACAATGCTACATTGTTTCCTGCCATTGGGAAGGAGAGAAAGAAGAGCTGGTCAAGGTGCAGTGAGCATCTACTGTGGTCCAGCACTGTTTGTGAGCCTATCGTTTAATCCCCACAGCGATCACATGGACACGCTTTATTATCCTCACGTTAAACTGCAAGAGTTGAGGCTCTGAAGATGAGAGCTATCTCACAATTCTAGACAAGCCCATACACACCTTCTCTATCCCTGCTCTTACTTGCTTCTGGCTACAAAACGGGAGACTTGAATTAATTAGTCTCTGAAGCTCCTCAGGCTTTAACTGCATGGCCTTTGTGGTGGGAAAGAGAACAGCAAACATGGAAGGGGTCTCAGGTGTGGGGTGGAACCTCTTTTCCTCGGACCTAGGAAAGCACCAGTACAGTGTCTAAGGACACTACTGCTATGGTTCCCATTACAATTAACGATGGGTGCCTCAAGCCTGTAATCCCAGTACTCAGGAGGCTGAAGCAAGAGCATCACTCTTCAGTCAGGCCAGCCTTGGCTACATAGTGAGTTTCAGGTCAGCCTGAGCTATAGAGTGAGAGCCTGTCTCTAACACACATATATGGGAACATATACAACTTTTTAAAAAATCTTCTGATTCGCCGGGCGGTGGTGGCACACGCCTTTAATCCCAGCACTTGGGAAGCAGAGGCAGGTGGATTTCTGAGTTCGAGGCCAGCCTGGTCTACAGAGTGAGTACCAGGACAGCCAGGGCTATACAGAGAAACCCTGTCTCAAAAAAAAAAAAAAAAAAAAAAAAAAAAAAAAAAAAAAAAAAAAAAACTTCTGATTCTTTTTTTTTTTTGTGGACTTTTTTTTTTTTTAAACGAATGTTCATTTCAAGTCCAGCAGCATTTATTGATATTTTATTGTGTTCTCTAGTTAAATTATAGTTGAGGCTTTTCCAGGCAGTAAAGAAGTATAGGATATAGTCTCTGTTCTTAGGGAAATTACAGCTAGCTGAGGAACACAGCTACCTTGAAAAAAAGAAAGGTATAATGTAAAACTGAAGTGCGTGGTCCAGACCACAGGTACAGCATGAGTGCAGAGAACGGGGAGATGGAAGGAAGCTGAGAAGCCCATGAGAACTGGGACAGGGTGCTGTTCACCTTGTACTGTGGTCTAGGCTTTCTCGGCCTTCTGTGTATTGTGAAATCCTGGTATGAACCTTTCACATAGTTCAAACATTCTGGGCTGTGCAGGCTGCAGTGCTGTCCTTCATGTCACGTCATCTAAATGCCACTTCATCCTTATTGGCACTTACGGGAGGGTAAAACCCCGCTGGTATGCAAACACCGTCATGGTTACTTGCTTCAAGCCATGGGAAGTTTCATGCAGAACCAGTTTCTCAATAGGGCACATGTTGTGTAAAGGTGTGAGGAGCCTGAGAAAGTGTGAGAGGCAAAACCTGCTGTGGCAAGAACCAGGTCTAAATGGGGACACTTCCCTGTCTGCATCAGCAAGGGTCAGTCTCTGGCCCTCCACCTGCAGGCCACTGAAGCTTAAGCACTTCTCCCACCCTCTGACCCAGAGGCTCCAGCCCTTGTCTTACACAGACGGGACTACTTAGCCAAACCATTCTGCATCTCTCACACACCAATCCATTGATAAGACGCTAGATGTGAAAAATTACAACAGAATTCTGGACCCCTCCCTGAAAAAAAAAAACCCTTAGTATCAAATCCTACCCTGTGGAGGCTATTCCTGATGGTCAACTTGACTACATCTGGAATGAGCTGCAATCCAGAAACGGCGGACACACCTGTGATCCAGATTTTGAGGCATAGTGACCATGAAAATACTAGGCCCAGGCAAGGTGGTACATGTCTTTAATCTCAGGAGACAGAGGCAAGCATATCTCGGAGTTCAAGGCTAGCCTGGGACAGAGCACGTGCCAAGAAAAGCTTAGGTCCACACATGGTGGTACACACCTTTAATTTGGACCGTACCTTCTGCTGGAGGCCAGCACAAGGACAATGGAAAAAGGATGAGTTTGTTCTTTGCCTGCTTGTCCTTAACTTGCCATCACATGTGTTGAAACCTACTTCTTCAGGATTCCAGCTTATACCGAAGACCAGCTGAAACACCTACCCTCATGGGACTGAGCAACTACTAGATTCTTGGACTTAACATTCACAGTTGTCCATTGTTGGAGTAGTCGGACTGCAGATTATAAATCGTTTTAATTTCTTAATATAGAGAGATATTCTATAAATTCTGTGACTCTAGAGAACCCTGATAAAATACATATTCTAAATGTAATATGGGAATCTTACCCCAAAAGATAACGGGCATAAGTTAAATAGTTACCATATGTTTAGTATGTGATCTGAAACAATACTAGACTGAAAAATATTTCCTAACTATTTGAAGACAAAACCAACACACAGGAAACAGTAGCTAAGTGTTTCCATCATAATATTACCATCTAAAGCAAGAGTAACTGGAGCCCAATATGGTGGCTAATGTTGCATTCCTAGCATTTAGGAGGCTGAGGCAAAGGATGGAAAAGTTTGAGACAGGCCTGAGCTATATAGTAAAACCCTGTTAAAATGTGGAGGAAGAGGAGGAGGAGGAGAAGGGGGAAGAAGAGGGGGAAGAGAACAGAAAAGAAAAAGAGACAGAGGCTGGTAATTGGTTCAGGAAAGTGAAACTTTGGTAATCCCAGAAATGACGAGAGAATGTTTCCTGGGGACAAGGGTTAGGATTGACATTACAAAACCAGAGCTTCGAGAGTCAGCAAAGAAAGAGTATTCTAAAAGAGGGAAACTACAACCGAGGGCAGAAACAATGAAAATACACGCATGAGCCGGGCAGTGGTGGCGCACGCCTTTAATCCCAGCACTTGGGAGGCAGAGGCAGGAGGATGTCTGAGTTCGAGGCCAGCCTGGTCTACAGAGTGAGTTCCAGGACAGCCAGGACTATACAGAGAAACCCTGTCTCGAAAAAAACAAAAACAAAAAAAAAAAAAAACCAACAACAACGAAAATACACGCATGAAAAAATGGAGGTAGTTAGCCTGTCTTGGGGGAGGGTGTGTGAGACTGTACTTAGCAAGAATTTGTAGTAAAGAAGAACATATCACTGAGATTAATTCAGGGGTTAGGGGGGTAGTGTTTGCTTAGCATTCATGAGGCCTTAGGTTCCCTCCTCAAGTTCCATATGCACCAAGCATGGTGTGTTCAAGCCTGTAACCCTAGCAACTGAAATGTGGAGGAAGGAGGACCAGAAGTTCAACTTCAGTCAGCTACACAGGGAGTTTGAGACCAGGATAGGCTACGTGAGACCTTGTATCAAAAAAAAAAAAATTGATTTATTAACAAACTCAGTAAACATATAAGTGCTGATTATATACCAAACATTAGACTGAGTTTCTTGCCACAAAGTAACAATAGCTTAACCTCCTAAAATTTGCAGTGTGCCAGGTACTATGTTAAGCACTCCACATATATAAATCATCTTATCCTTACTACAGACCTTGAGTGTTAGCACTATTAGAATCCCCACTTTACAAAAGGAAAAGACAAAGTCCAGAGAAGTCAAGGAATTTGCTCTAGGTCACATAATTAGGAAGTGGAGAAGTAGTCTGGGTGAGTCATTTCAAACGTGGGTTCTGAGCACAATGCTAAATTGCCTCCACACATATTATCTAATTAAATCCTCATTAAGTTCTCTATGGCATAGGCATTGTTATTCTCATTTTGCAAATGAGGATCCAAGACGCCAGGAGTCAACCAATTGCAAAATCAATTCAATTCTTTCCTTTGAATACAAGGCTACAATTTGAAAGCAGCTCTATTCCAAAGCCATTAAACTTTCCATTACAATATAGCCACCTGGCGGAGGTATCGTCCAGATAGGATCAAATTGTGGAAAATGTTGACAGCCTAAGAAGAGCAAAAAGCCTTGACAAGGACAGGGACGAAGATGTGGACAGGCATGATGAGATTAATGAGGATATGTCTAGGTCTAGCTTCAGCTGGTCATAGGACTCAGGGAAAGGGTAGACATTAGGTGACATCATAGATGGTAAGTACAGAGAAATAGGCGAGGGAGAGGGAAAGACAAACAAGATTAAAATGTGACAAAAAATCTGATTGTCTTTGGTGCTGATTGGCTAAGAGCAACAAGAGATCAAAGGGGATTTGAGTCTAAATAATTCAGTGGGTTACTGTCAGGGACAGAGACATCACACAAAGATCTGGTTTGTGACCAAAAAAAAAATGTTTTTGAACGTATTATTTGTTTTATAAAAATAATAACCTAAAAGAGGAGTAGTCCAGGAATGCAGGTATGGGGTTTGGAGCTCAGGTAAAGAGCAAACACTAAACATCAGAGGTTTGATCACAGTTGACCAAAAAATGTTATCCACCAGCCAGTGAAGGAGCAGTGAAGGAGTGAAGGTTACAGTGACAGCCCAGGGCTGCAGCTCATTTCGGAGAGTGTTTGCATAGCATACACTAAGCCCAGGGTTCAGTCCCCGCCATAAACGGGCCATGTTGGCTAATGCCTATAATCCAGGAGCTGGGGAGGTGGAACCTGAATAATCAAGAACTCAGTGTCAGGGCTGAAGAGATGGCTTAGCTGTTCTTCCAGAGGACCTGGGTTCGATTCCCACCAGCACCCTATGGCTGCTGACTGTCACCTGTAACTTCAGTTCCAGGGAACCTAACTAATGTCCTTTTCTTTCATCCTAGGGCACTGAACACACATGGTCCACAGACATACGTGAAGGCAAAACATCCATGAACAGAAAATAAAAAGGGTTTTAAAACCTTTACAAAAACCCCTCAAGGTCAGTACTTTCTACATAGCAAGTCTGAGGCCAACGTGAGTGAAAGGAGATCTTGGCTAAAGGTTTTTTTGTTTTTGTTTGTTTGTTTGTTTGTTTGTTTTAAAAAAAAGGTTGGAATGAGCCAAAAGTCTGCACACAAAAATCGAGACAAGTGGTCCGAGCCAAATAGACGAAAGCAAAAGAGACGCTGTGCTAAATGACAGCAGGGAGAGTGGTGACCACAGAGCTTCCTGTGTTTCTGGTAATCTAGGGTATTTCCTAGAGGAGCCGAACCCAGCTTCTCGGATGGGCCCTACAGAAGAATCTGGAACTTACTCCTATAAGAGAATAGGACATCAGCACAAAGACAGACCTGGAGTCATCGGAAACGACCTTACCACTGAACTGTACACTTACAAAGGCCTAAAATAACAAATATAACAGGTATCTCCCTCAATATGAGTATCTATATATCCCCTGAAAATGTCTGTGAAAGCTTCAATTTTAGCATCTCATCCATTGAGCCTCTTCATTAAAGACCTTCCCTTCCACCAGGTGTGGGTTTGCATATTTATTTGTTTATATTTATATTCCCAGCCTTTGGGAGGTAGAGGCAGCCTCAGAGGGGGGTCAGGAGTTCCAGGCCAGTCTTTGCTATATGTCAAGTTTGGGGCCATCCTAGGCTACATGAGAAAAATTTAAACCATTTTTCTTTCCTTACTCACTTTGGCAGCCGCGGTGCTGAGGGAGTGAGGACGTGTGATGCTGAGGCTCAGATGTCCTCGGCTCCTGTGGGTTCTAATCTGGAAGGGAAACAGGGCCATCAGTTGGGAGTAACTTGCTACAAAGCCTCTTCTTGTGAACCTGGATGTGGTGGTACTCACCTATAATCCTGGAACATGAGACTGAGGTAGGGGGCTCACAAGTTTAAGAACATCGTCTGAAAAAGGTGGCACCCTGTCTCAAAAATAAAATAAAAATAAAACAAAAAATAAATAAATAAATTAAACTCTTCTTCTGGCATTTCTCTTCCCTGTCCATTTCTTCTCAGAGCATTAGGAACATGGCACACTGGCCAGTTCCCCACCCGCTGTGACCTCTTGTGCCTGACAGAATTATGAAAGTGACTAAGCTCTTCAGCCAACACCTAGAAGGGACTTGCCTGAGACAAGAAGTGGGAGTCCTGTGATCTCAGCTCCCGCTTGTTGCCTTTTGGAAGTGTCCTTTATGGTTTGAGGCCCTACCCTCCGACTGACATCACAGAGATCACCTCCAAACTCGGCTCACGGCTTCTTCCCGCAGTCCATGTAACTCACCTCTACGTCAGGGTCCTCCACAAACCGTGACAGCCTAAGTATGTTCCTCCTGTCTTGACGTAGCATGTCCAGTTCCTCCTTATCCTGAAGTAAGGAAATGGGGCCTGGAGTTGTTAACTGGCTTGCCCAAGAGTTACACTTGGTTCACTGGGAAAAAAGGAGAGACAGACTTTCTGACACAACCTTCAAATTTTTGTCAGCTAGATAAAGATGCTGGGTGAACAGTTTGGAATTGAAACTTTCCCCAAAGATTTGGTCTCTTTTACAGTCTTTGTCTTACAAGGTGTTTATGATGTCTGAAAATGCCAGTTTATAGTTTAGAAGGCACTGGAAACAGCCTGGGTGAAAGGAGGCTCACTGGTTACCCACAAACCATGACAGCCAGCCCATCACCCTGTGGTCAAAGCTCGGATCTATGCCCACCCTCGGCCTTGTTATGGCAAGGCATAATTGAGGGCCCTGTATACCAGGCCTTTCTAGGCCTTTCCAGTATTGCTTCACATCGACCTTGATGCCTTCCTCTGAAATCTTTGATTACCAAATGTCAGCAGGCAGCCAGTCGGTTTGGGATGGGTCCTACAAGGCTACTGCAAGACAGCGGAATGACAGGCTGGCTCATCAAAACTGTACGTATCAGACAAACTTCAGGAAAAACTGGTCACGCCAGCTCGTCACTCGAGAAAAATAGTCTTGTGTGAAGCTTCCCATGGTATGAAATAGATGTGAGAAAGGCTGTTCCTTCACCACATTCTTTTGAATAGGCATCTAACAGGGCATGGCAAACAGACCCTCCCCGTCCCCGACAATATTAAGTTAAGCAGACAAACCTGCTTTCATGAAATTGACATATTTTTTCTATGGGTCATTTTCTTTTCCATGGGCAGGCGCTCTTGTAGCCCAGGTTATGTAAATGAGGCTAGACTTAAAGCAATTCTCCTGCCTCCTACAAGGTTAGAACTTGTAGATATAGAATTAAACTTCTAAAAGACTTGGCAAGTCATCTATCATAGCCCTAACTTAGCAGGAGAGGAAACTAAGTTTCTCATTATTAGACTAGAGTACTCATTTTCCTATGAGCTAAAATCATACCCTCGGCTCTGGTGGGACCGGTGGCTAACCTAAAACCTGTAATATTTTTCATATAAACCACTGCTTGGATCAAAATTTTTTCCAACCCAATAAATTTCTTAAATTTTTGTTCAGCTTATATTTTGCTTTTGAATTCCATTTTGTCAATTTTAACCCCATATTTCTGTCTAGAGTTTGAATTTGGAACATTTTTACTAACATTTTTTGAGAAAAGAGAAAATCATCTGTAGTGTACACTTTACAGAACCCCTGAACTCTCATGGTAATAGCTAAATTATTCTCCCCCCCCAAAAAAAAGTTTTTATTTGTATTTTATGTGTATCAGTGTTTTGCCTGTATGTGTATCTATACACTGTGTACAAATATTGCCCATGGAGGTCAGAAAAAGTTTTCTCCCAGAACTGGAGTTAGAGATTACTGAGTCACTATGTGAGTGCTGGGCATTGAACTGGGCTCCACTGGGGAAGTAGCCCGTGCTCATAACCTCCGAGACATCTCTCCAGAACCCCTTCCTCTCCCACACATACCTTTTAAGTTTTTATTTACAGATAAACTAGTCTACCTAAGGTTCTATTTATGAAAATGATTTAACTTAGAATTCCACTCACCTAGTTTTTAAGGGTGGCTGATTTTCTTTTTATATGACAAAGAGAGGAATATTCCTGCAGGAAGTAAGAGTGACTGGAATAATGTCATTAAAAGCTACCCTCTAGAATTCGGACTGCAATGGGGTGGGGGTGAGCTCACATGCATGCACGCACATGTGTGCATGTGCAAGTCAGAAGTCAACACTTACCTTTCTTAATCACTTTCCACTCTTTTCTTTTTTCTTTTCTTTTTTCTTTCTTTCTTTCTTTCTTTTTTTTTTTTGGCCTCTCACCAAACATGGAGCCCCAGTTTGTGTATAATGGTGGCCAGCCAGCCCCAAGGCCCTCCCAGTGGCAATCTCCCATCACTAGAATGGCAGGTGCACGCTGGTTCCAAGCTATTTTTACATGAGTACTGGGGGTCAGACTCAGGTCTTCTGGCTTGCATATCAAGCACTTGTCCAGTCTGCCATCTCTCCAGCCCTGGAGGATTTATGTATGTATTTCTTGTTTGGTGTATAAGGTAATAGTTTCTTTCATAAAACCTGGAGATGTCAAGAATTTCAGAGGTAGGAAGAAAAGGATTTCCTAATCTCTTCATACCACATGGATATCTGCTACATGCAAAAGGACAATTAAAACCTGGGTGATGTCATATATTGCAGACAGCCCGACACCTAATCCCTGACTCCTGTCTCTTCATTCTTCTTATCTAATAAAAATGGCTGACGTTTATCAAGTACCCAAGATGTTCTGGATACTGTGCAGAGCACTTACGAACTCTGCTAACTTAAGCCTTGAAATTGTCTTGATTTTAAAGAGTTAAACATAAGGTCCCACTCATAGCAGGCAAATATTCTACTCTCAACTATTAACCCAGCCTAAGAGTGACTTAAAAAAAAACAAAACAAAACAAAACACAAGGTCTTATGTATTCCCAGGCTAGTCAATATAGCTGTCTTAGTTAGGGTTTTACTGCTGTGAACAGACACCATGACCAAGGCAACTCTTATAAGGACAACATTTAATTGGGGCTGGCTTACTCCCTGGGCCGAGCATATAGAAACCATAACAGTAGCCAAGGATAGCCTTGCACTTCTAATCTTTTTGCTTCTACTTTCCAAGTGTTGAAATTATAGCTATGCACCACTGTGTACCTAGTTTCTGTAGTGCGGGGGTTCAAAGCCAAGGCTTCATGCATGTTGAGTAAACTCTCCGAGCCACGCCACACATCATCAGCCCGAGCACTATACTTAACAGGTCAGATTTCTTGCTTGATTTAACTCACATACCAAGGGTAGATAGAGCTTGATTCCCACTGAATTATTGTGACTCTAGAGGCCAAAAGCTCACCCACTATTATGTGTTAGTCCAGGTCCTCTAGGAGAACCACTGGACCATGACATAGGTCTGATCCTTAGGAATCCTGGAATGATGGACTGGAGGAGAGGAGAGTGGGAGGGAGGGGGAAAGGTTGATGATAAGGAAGAGTCTTAGACCACACTGCTGTAGTAAGGGAGCTCTTTAAGACTAATGGAACATCTTAGAGGTAACTCTGCCCACCACTGGAGTTCCTCATCCTCAGAGACAGACTTGGCTCACCGTCCCTGCTGACTCAGTAATACAGCAGACTTAAGAATCAGAAGGAACTGCAGAGTTGGCTCAGTGATTAAGAGCACTCGTTGCTCTTACAGAGTTCTTAACCTCTGAGCCATCTCTCCAGCCCTCAGAGTTCAATTCCCAGCACACACGTTGGCTTACAATCATTCATACCTACAGCTCCATAGTATCTAGTGCCCCTCTTCTGTCATCAAAGAGCCAAGCCATGAATGCAGAACACTTACATACATGTCCACAAAACACTTACACATCATCATCATCATCACCACTACCACCACCATCACCATCAACGTCATCATAAATGCTTTTTTTAAAAGAATCCTACCGGGCAGTGGTGGCGCACGCCTTTAATCCCAGCACTTGGGAGGCAGAGGCAGGCGGATTTCTGAGTTCGAGGCCAGCCTGATCTACAGAGTGAGTTCCAGGACAGCCAGGGCTATACAGAGAAACCCTGTCTCGAAAAACCAAAAAAAAAAAAAAAAAAAAAGAAAAAAAAAGAAAAGAATCCTGACCTAGGCAGGAAACCATGACAAGTTTCAGAACACACAAGGGAGATTCCTGGTCACTTGTGCTCCTCTTTTCTTGTGCTTGTTAAGCCGTTCTGTCTCTTCAAGTGAATATGCTGGATTTGCCTTCAGTAACAGCTCTCCCTGCTAACCCATTTCACGATGCTGTCATTGCTAACCTAGATAACAGCATTCGTTAACATCTCCCTACTGCCAGCCTCCGTGCCCTTAAAATGGAACCATCCTTCCGTTACAAAAACCCAACTATATGGGAGCCGAATTTTAGAAATGGGTGAGA